GGTTGCTCCTGGTACTTTTCTGACAGTAGAGTAGACCATGGGAACAACCTTTGGTTGTGTGGTCTGTTTTGTTAGAGTCGTCGAGGCATTGTGATTGAGTGCTTAAGCCATCTTGCAAAGCCCTAATAACACGGGCGAGATTCTGTTGGGTTTTAGTGGGTAGTACTGGCTTTTCTAGTCAGTGAGTACCACATAATCTCCTGTATGTACGCAGGTATGTAACGTAAATCAAATCTAATCGAAAATTCCGATTCGGATAATTTAAAGAGAAATTTACATGTACATAAACAACATTGATTAAACAATTATTATTAAACTATTTATATATAATGATACGATGTTATTATCTTTTGATTCTACCTGTGTTTTGATTGACTAATTTGAACAAAAAATGGCTATTGCGAGTTAACTGTAAGTCATAATAGAGCCTCGTGGACTTTTTTGTGAGTAATGACGCACGCCAAATAATTAAATTTATTGGCAAATTTTTATTATAAAATTATTACCTTGGATTACATTTTTCAATTTTTTAGGAATCTCTCATTTTTTTTTAAATAAAATACATCCCGTGATACTGTCTGATAATACAGCTTCCTATAGGTCAATGAATTTTTAGAATCAGTTCATTAGTTTTGAGTTTATTCATTACAAGCAAATACACAAATCGAATCTTTTCTATTTATAATATAAGTAATATTATATTTTTACATAGGTATTTAAACAATTTCAATTTCTAATGAACTCTATATAGAGAGTTCACATATGCATGACATATTCTGATCTGCAACGTTTGTATATCAAACCTACATAAATGCACTAATCAATGAATTTACGTAACAATAAATGCTTACCTAATTAAAATTAATTACCTAGTTCTGACGTACGAACTGATTATACCTATAGATGTTTGTTCTGATGAATAGATTCGTTTTTAGTTACATAAAGTAACACTGCCAGGGTAACGAGTTTGATGCCCCTAGTAAAAATTAAATTCATTACGTTAATTAATTAAATTTTAAATTTATTTTTAGTTTGAATCCATACTAATATTATAAAGCGAAACAGTCTGTCTCTTACTTTTTCAGGCTCAATCCATTAAACCGATTTAGATGAAATTTAGTATGGAAATAGTTTGAGACCCCGGGAAGGATATAGGATAGTTTTTATCTCAAAAATCATCCCTTAAGGGGGTGAAAAAGGGGGTAGAATTTTTTATGAGGGATCAGTCATTTCTCAAGTAAGACTGAGAGACTTGTAGAAAAATTTATATCATTTAAAAGCTTATAATAGAAATTTAAACATTCATATATAAAGTTTTCTATTAGCGATATCGTTTGTAGAATAACATCTTGTCTAAGCCCGAATTTGAACACAACATCCGCATTAAGCAATGCAACTGTAAACACATGAGACATCATGACTCAGTCCTCAGTCTCCCAAAATACCCGTCTGCAAAACAGTATCTTTATATGCAATACATATCTGTTTGTATATTGGAATGTGATTCATTTGAAGAATTCTACCGTAGTATTTGTGACATATGAAGCTATATATTAACTAACTTCAAACAAAGATGAGGTTACGTTACGAGATAATCTGAGCTCACCTGGCACGACATCCATTAACAAAAGAATTGAATTACTTTACGAGATTTCATGTAGAGATTATATGATTACACTAGCGACTCACCCTCGCTTTGCTCGGGTTCGTAGGTAGTTACATTTTAATTTATTTGAGCGGAACCCTATTTTTTTACTGAAATAAAGTTATTACTTATAACATCAAGGTTGAAATTTGGTTGAAAGTACCGTCAAACTCGGCCCAGCCGTTTCGGAGATTAGCCGGAACAAACAAACATTTTAAAATTTATGTTTTTTTCTTATAAATACCATATAAGTATAATTCCATATGCATCACAAACAGACACTTCAATTTTATTTATCTGTATAGATGTATTTGTAAACTTTATATAATGCTTTTTATAAGGAATAACCTATAAACAAGTGTGGTTTAATAAGAATGTCAAATCGTATCAAAAATAATATAAACTATAGATGCAGCTTATAATAAAATTCATAACCATTCTGATGATAAAGAATGCAATTAATTACATGCCTCTGTATAATGAAATTTCCTTATATTTAGATAAGGTACTCTACCTCACACATTCAGAACATAATATTATAAAAAAATACTTGTAAATTATAAATCAAATATCAAGTCAAATATAACTTTTGGAAACTTTTAAGTGAAAGCAATCGCGATTAATAATCAGAAATCGAAATATTTCTAGTTTAATATCTGTAATTCAATTTTATAAAAAATATTAGGTACGTAAATATCTCATACATAAAAGTTTACGGATAAATTACCGTATAATTATTATATATTGCATTGTATTTAGACCTTTTTACGTCCCACTGCTGGGCAAGAGCCTCCTCTTAACGCGAGGGGGAACAGACCGTAGTCCATCACGCTGGCCAAGTGCAAGGCGAATTTCACATGTCTTTCGAAAACTTGCTAGATTCTCTCAGACATGCAGGTTTCCTCACGATAATTTCCATAAGACAAGTGGTAAAAAGTGGTAAATATTTTTTCTAAGCATTGTATTACATATTTTCTATATTTAAGCAATATCATTTGCCACTGTATACGCGTCACCATCGCTTAGCGAATAGCAGACGTACAGAATGACGTTTGCGGATATCGTATTGTTAATTCAGATAAGGAACAGGGACTTTTATACATTACAATACGTTATGATTGGGTTATAATGCGAAATAGATGTTTAATTTTTTTGAAGTTAAACTTCTTTTTAGCACGTTGGTAAAAAAATATGAGAGTAAAAATTAGACAGCCAAAAAGCGACATGATGAAGTTATATTCACTGTGCACTTCGTAAGTAAAACAAAAAATCTGCTATATCACTTTATTACTATACTAATAAAAAAGTACCAAAACATTAATATTTAATACATATACTTAGTATATATTTTATTTGATACGTATTAATCGTTTTGTTGACGAACCTATAAACATATATTATAGCATAACTGGCAGCGTACAATATTACCGAATCAGTATAAGTAATCATGACTAATATTTTAATAATCATATAGTAATTTCTGGATTTCTCAGAGATGAGATATTTTCCCGCAGTAAAAAGTACCCTATATGTTGACCCGGACAATCAGCTATCACCATATTAAATTTCGTCAACACAGACAGACAGACAGACAGACAAAAAATTTAAAAACTATAAATTCAACCTCTGTATCGACGATAATGACTATTGTTCAATTTCATTCCAAAAAATATCAAATGTACAGACTCGACTCAGAATTTTATTATATGTATAGATATAACTTTATCTATACATACAATAAAATTAAAACTAAGCCGAATCTGTACATTAAATAATTTTGGAAAATCTTATTGAAATAAACATTATTATCGATACAGAGTATGTTTTTAGATTTTTTGTTTGTCTGTCTGTCTGTCTGTTACCGCATCACAGAAAAACCACTGGAGGGATTTTGATGAAATTTGGTATGGTATTTAGCTGTTTATCCGGGTTAACATATAGGATACTTTTTACCGCGGGAAAATGTTTCATTTCTGAGAATAAATACAAAAACTGCAACGTAAGATTATACTAATATGTAAAACCTAAGAATTTGGTTTTTGATCATCTGAGCGCGGGCGGAGCCGCGGGAAACGCTAGTTAAAATATAAGTATACTTTTATTATAAAAAAAAAACCATACATGGTTTCTAGTATGAAACACCACATCCTTATATAAATAGGCAAAGAAAGCTCAGTATTTTTTTCTCCTCTGTTGGTTTTATTTGTATAGTAACTATTGACGAGCTTTAGTGTTATCAAAGAAGAAAAATGAATAATGATTATGTTTAAATTTCGATCACTAATAATAAGAAATTCAGCTACTAGATATATATATTCTTGTTATATATACGTTATATATCAAGAATATGCAAGTTTTAGTATATTATGACATTATTCCCTCAATAAACTAATATTGAAATAGCAAATAGGGAAATAATAAAATGACAAAGTCTACTAAAACTATCTAGTTATTACAAACATATAGACATAACGACAGTATATGACTTGCATATCTACATGTTATTATGTAATGCACTTGTAGAGCTCTTTAATGAATATATTTGACATAGATAGAGACGTTTTATAATGCTTCTAGTATCAATCTAATTCAAAAGGTTACAGGTTCGATTTCTGTACAGATTATCATGAATAAATCAGCGTATGTAACAAATACTTTTGACAATTATACCAAAAAGTCAGTTCTGTGCACGTCCCTAACCCTCTTCATGGGAATTAACCCACTGGCCTGATCTAAGTTTGAAGAGATCCGGGCTTTGAACCCGCTTCAATTACTTGAAAGCGAGCGTGTTAACAATAACTAAATTCTTTTTTTGTCAATGAAATTTCTTATTACATAAAAAAATGATTGACATCAAACTAATATACAAACAAATCCATCCAGAAATTTTGTTCATATATTATTATATACATAAGTTATTTTCGAATCTCGCCAAATCGTCCAAGATTTAGAATTCGTTTCAAAAACCAACTTTTTTTGTTGACGGAAGATACTCATACCGCGTTTAATTGAGCACGTAAACAATTCATTCATATCGGTCACGCGTACGCGTATTCGTGAGAAACAAACGAACGATGTAGCTATCAACTTGCAATGTAGGTACAGACAAAATAAACCCATTGTCTTTAATACTATTGTAGTTTTCCCATTGTTGATTCTGTAAATACTATTAGTTAAGAGCAGTGTCGCTCGATGATCGGTCGTGCTTGGTCAAAATTCTTAAATTTGACTGTTATTTTTTGTTAGAACAATCTGTTCGTCAATTGAAAGGTTTTAGAGCGTTAAAGTTGTTTTAGTTTAACTTTTTGTTCGATTAGCAAGTGAAGTTAAAATGCGTAGACACGTTTACAATAAAATGAATGATTCCGAGGAGGAATGCACATGTACTGGGGACTACAAGAATTTGAGGCGTGTGTCCAAATTACTCCTTTTCAATAAATCGGTAAGCCTGTCAATACATTCTGATTAAAAAATTAAAAACAAGTTTAATAGATGAAGTTAAAAAGAAATTTCACAATTTAAAATATAGTGTTTGTTTGTTACTTAAAAATAGCATATTCACTTAATTCTTGTAATCAGCGCTTTTTTTTAGTACAAGGGGGATCAGGCCATAGTCCACTACGCTGGCAATCTTCCAAAAACCGGCTTAGATCTCCCAGACATGCAGGTTTCCCCACGATGTTTTCATTCACCGTAAGATAAGTGGTATTCATATTGGAAATGATTCGCACATGAAAATATCAAGAGGTGCGAGATTTAGGATTTGGACTCACTTAATTCGGTTTCCCAAGTGAGTGCGTTACCACTGTGCTGCCTTTTTATTTAATTCTTTCACAAATCAAAAATATTTTATTTATCACTATTAAGAATTTCTCGATAATATTCTATTAGAAAGCAATAAATTAAAGCAAAAATGCATTTTCACGATTACAGATATGTAATATTAGTGATAAGGCACGTTAAAAACATTTAAAGACCATTCACGTGTCAGTAATATAAGAAACAAAATCCATACTAATATTGTAAATGTGAAAGTGTGTTTGTTTATTTCTTTGTTTCTTGTTATCTTTCTTTCACGTCGAAACAAAGTGACGGATTGACGTGATTTTTTGTGTGGAGATAGTTGGGAGGGCTGGAGAGTGACATAGGCTATATTATATATAGGATATATTAAAAACTGTATTTTAAACAACTACAATTCCACAGATCGACAAACAGACTTATAACACGCCTCTTTCTCCATTGCAAGCTAACCCACGGTATTGGAAGATGGAAGCAGTTCCATATGCATAATCTTTACATAGTCAAAGCAAAAAAACAATAACTTATTACGTTCACTTCGTCTATAAATAAGATATTTAGTGGAATGTTTCATTTCTCCTAGTATTTAGGTCATACGATCTCATTTCTCATGAAGAATTCCTAATAACTGCGTACAAATATTGCTGCAAAGCAGTTTTTCCTTATATGATAAACAGTAATCACCTTTTTTGGTATTCAGGATAACTGTACATTGGAGTAATATTTTATTACTTTCCGTTTTAAATTATTTTCCAAAAATAACCAAAATGGGTTGAATTTATTTATAAATAAATATGTTGGGGCATTAACACACAGCACCATCTAGTTCCATGGTAAGCTACTAGGCCTGTGTTATGGATACCAGAATAGTTGATACACTACACATATTATATAACTTTAAATATATACATACTATAAATATAAACATCCATGACTAGAGTACAAACATTCGTGCCCATCACACAAATGAATGCCCCAGCGGGACTCGTACCCACGACTGCTGACACAGCAAGTGAGGTCACTACAGACTGAGCCAAATGTGTCGTCTGGCTGATTCTTTAGCAACTATAAGTCATTGTTCAATGCAAGAATCAAATTTGAAATCTCTAGAGCTTAATCTGTGAAATAGTAATATGACGAATTAAGTAAAACAGCACTAAATTTTAAACACTGTTATACAATATCAATGACAGATCTGTAGTACTGCGATAGCATTGTTAGTGCATACGGGTAAATGAGTACATTACCTAATGAACACCGGCGAGTTAATGGTCTGTCAACACGCCTAAATTCACTGACACAATTAACTAACGTTCTAGGTTTACGTTTGAAAAGTTGAAATACTTAGGTTTTGCCCGCGGCTGCTCTCGTTTGTTAACTATGATGTTAAAATTAATCTAAGTCCTTTTTAACTGAGTTCCAAAAAGGAGTAGGTTATCAATTTGTTGGAATCTTTTTTTCCTGAACCGATTTGGATTTTTTTTTGTTTCAAAGGGTATACTTCCCAGGTCCTTCCCAGGTCCTATATTACTTTTATCGAAATCGGTCGAGCGCTTTTTAAAAAAATCCACGATAAATATATTTTTTAAATAAATTGTTTAGTCAAATATGTCATTAAAAAACTTTCTTCTTACAAATTACCTGCTTATTATGTCTACACTTAAAATGAAAAAATAAAAACTCTAAAAAAAACCGACTTCCAGGCTCTAAAATAAAAAAAATAACTAAACGGGGGTTTTCACTTAGAACAGATACCTAATCAGATATTTTCTAAGTCGGTGCCAGCTGACAATGTTTTAAGATATGAATATCTAATAGCTAAATATGTATTTTAGGTATCGAAATATATTAGATTTGCTTTGCATCGACTATCGGCTCGTCGTCCCTAGGTGATTCTTTAAATTGATATAACTATTTTATTTATGACCTGATTGAAATAAAACATACTAAAAGTTAAGTGAAGTTTACCACAATACATTAGTGAAAACCGCGCTCAAATCGGTTAAACCGTGTCTGAGATTAGCGCGCACAAAAGCACAGACAAACAGACAAAAATTCTAATAATCATTAGGTTGGGTTCTATTGCGTAAATAAAGACTCCCAATAAATAATAGTTTTTCTCAAATATCTTCCATGTACAGACAGTGATCAGTTACAATTTTATTATATGTATAGATTTATAAGACTTACGATTAGCTTAGCGAATATTAAATAACGCATTAGAATCTTTAATTGTTGGAAACTGAACTGCTTTGTCTTAGTCTATTTTTAACTTACTTCGAAAAAGGAGGAGGTTCTATGTTCGTCTGTATTTATGTTTTTTTTTAAATAGATACTCTTATTACATAAATAAAAATATTTTTTACTTTTAAACAGAAAACAAATGTTTTTGTAAGTATCACTAAACTATATTACTTTATTACAAGGCATAGTGACTGATCTAAAACGCATATAATATATTCATTAGCTTTTATCTCCTGCAATAAATACCTATAGCATGGCGTATTCATCAACATTAGAGCTGTTTTAATGTTCAATAAGCATTAATTAAAATACACTATATATGAAACCTGGCTTCTCTTGATTTAGGCTACTTGAATTTCCTTAGAATGCGGTTTAATTATTTTGTTTGGCTGACTAAAAAAAGAACTTTTTAATATCTATAGGTAATATCTACATTGTTAGATCATCTCTCATATCAATTAAAAACACCTTTATGAGTAGAAGGGACTTTGAAGTTAACCTATACCTTTTATAGTTATACTAATTATTAGTAATAATAAGCAAATCAAAAGATATGCTAATACATTAAATTTAACATTATGCCATTTATCTTTTAGAGAAAAAGCAATAGAATGACCTGATTTTCTGCATAAAATAGTTTAAGAGTTAAAGAGGGTTGTATAGATATTTTAATCACTTATTTGTATCTTATCGTATAATATTAAATGAGCCATTCTTGTATATATATATGTATGTATAACGACCCTAACGACCTAGATCAAGTTTTGTATTTAGATAAGGGTTTGTTAAGTTTATCTACGAGTATATGGATGTCCTTTCTGAAAAAAACGCAAGTTTTTATCTTCTCCGAAAACCGCCTAACGAAGCTTGGTCGCTGAAGTCCTGTTACTTTACTATGCGGCATATATAAATAATAGACTCACAAAAAAAAACTTAAAACTGTTTATCTCCTTAGGACTATAATTTCTGATCACACACAAACATATGTTGATAATTTTGCCATTCAATAGATATAATTTGAAATAGATGTTATAGAACAGTGCAAAAACCACAAATTGCTTTGTCCGTCTCGGTGTTACGCAACCGCTGCATTTCCTGAGATCTTGCTAAATAAATAAGGCATTGCGGTATAGTGAAAGCGAAGCGATTTTTTTTTACCATAAGCTAGGTTGTGTATGCACCCCACTCGACGTCTGTTCACTTTATCGTTGGGGGTATGGCCCACTTCGGTGGGCGGTGTACCATGCGGGTTGCTCCTGGTACTTCTCTAACGGCAGAGTGGATATAAAGACGTTCTGAATAAAGATTATATTGTAGATTAAAAGGCATCTTAATAAAACTAGTATGGTATAAAGTAAAAAAAAAAGCTTAGATTATCATAATTTTGTGTCAGCGTCCCTAGAAACTTTTGATATAGCGGGATAAAGGAAGCTTTATATGACACTCTAGCTCGTAAAGTATACATTTCTATTCAAAACACCAAGTAAATAGTTGTTGTGTGTGTGAAATTAATTAAAATATTAAGCACAATATCGTGTTTATAATACCTTTTCAATTACGATTATTAAGTTACTGTGATTATTATTAAATTAAAATTAATTATTCTACAGAATCGCATATTTCTTTTCTTAATTTCTTAACATATTTAAAGGTAATTTACTTTAAAATAAAAAAAAAACTTCAAACGTAAAAATTTCACATTTCATGCCTAAAGATATAAGGAAAGTATTGATGTTTCTTTATAACCCTATCAAATTCAAAATATTTATGGTGTTAAAGTAACAAACCACCATACATATACCATTGCTAAACATTCACCAACATATTTTAAATTCTTCACTAATTAAAAATCCACTGATGATAACCATCGTATCTACGAAGCGGGATATATCAATAAGCAAAGGGCATGAGAGCGGTGTACAGTTCACTTTTATTACACATCCAGTTATAATAACCGGTTTGAGTTTTAAACGAATCAAATGATGATTAAGCATCATTTATTGTACGTATCTTCTATTGCATGAATAAAATCACGTGGGTTTCTAAAATGATATACGTAAATTAAAACATTAGTTATAATTAAATACTGCTATTAATTGTAATGTTATAGATATTTTCTATTTAATTTATTTTACGAATATTAGTTCTTAATGGTAATATAACTTTACCAGATAGTAACTGAGTGACCACGCTTCGCTCGGCGTTTTTTAGTTTTTTCGGAAAAGATATAAAAATTAATTTTTTTTTTCAGAAAGGATACTTATGTACATAAGCTTAAAAAACAAAACCTTATCTAAATACAAAATTTGATTCAAATCGTAAAAAGCTGTTTCCGAGATACACAAAATAAATTTATATACATTATACATACATATATACAGGAATTTCTCATTGAATATATAGAAGGCTATAGCTGTATAGCCTCCTTTAGTAACCCAACCTGAACCACTACTGTAGTTAACCAAATTCCGCAAATCTTATATATTAGACCGATGAGAAAATATTTTATTACCTAATATTTTTATTCCTCAATTGACGTGATTGAAATTTTGAATATTTAATAAGAATTTTGATGTAACCACTATAAGGCTATATTCATTAAAACTAGCGGCTCACCCTCGCTTCGCCTCTAGAAAAACACTATTGGAGATATATTAGTTTCCACGACGACGAGAACCGTTCATTTTTCCGGGATTCCGGGAGATTAGCCCGTACAAACAGACATACAGACATACAGACAAATTTTTTAATAACTTGTTTTGGGGACTATGTTGTGTACATAATACGTTACAAATAAACGAAAACATCTATCCCACGGGAACCATACATTTTTCCGGGATAAAAAGTAGCCTATTTGTTATTCTGATGTATGACCTATATTATTGTAAAGTTTCATCAAAATCCAATCAGTAGTTTTTGTGTACAAAGCTGTAAGTTACTATAGTTTTTTGACTGTCCCACGGGAACCCTTTAATTTTCTGGGATAAAAAGTAGCCAATTTGTTATAGTCATGTATGAACTATATTATTGTAAAGTTTTATTAAAATCCAATCAGTAGTTTTTGTGTACTAAGCTGAATAAGTTATTATAGTTTTTAACTATCCCACGGGAACTATTTAATTTTCCGGGATAAAAAGTATCTGAGATGTTGCCCGGGGATATAAGGTATTACCATACAAAATTTCATTTAAATCGGTCCAATAGATTGGAAGATTAGCCCGTACAAACAGACAGAGAAACAAAAAATTTGAAAAAAATTCAGGATTTGTTCTATATGCCTTCTTACATCCCCCTGACTCGGTTTTTAGCATTTTTTTGCTATGTACAGATATTCGACCTCTACTGTTTTATTATAGTAATATAGATAATCATTCGAATTGATTTACAATATGCAAAAATATCGTTTAATATAGACAAAAAAATATAGACGAATTCAGTTTCTTTTAATTTCAGTAAATAAGGATCAAAGACTACGTAAAAGTAGATTTTCGATAATCTTTAAAGCTTGAAATTAAATAAGCATGCGTCAAAATACCAATAGATGGAACACAGTCCTTAATTTCACAACTCCATCGTGTTTATGTACAACTTACGTTATGTCGCAAAACTTAGGTCACAGACGGTCCGCTCCTGGATATACCTAAATCAAATAATCGCACTTCACCCACTAACCTTAATACTGAATCCCTCAATCACTACATAGTATAAAACAAAGTCGTTTTCTCTGTCCCTATATCCCTATGTATGCTTAAATCTTTAAAACTACGCATCGGATTTTGATGCGGGTTTTTTAATACATAGAGGAAAGTTTTAGTATATAATTTGTTAAGTTATTGTATACATTGGCTAAAATATAACGATATCTGTTGGAGCTGTTGGAAAAAATAAGACGTCTGGGAGCTTTCAACGAAAACGCTGCCTAAACCCTTTGAGATATAAGAAAATAATGTATGGTGGAATTGTGTATCTTATATAGGTCTACAGAAAAGTCCGCGATGGCATAATTATGTCTATCTGTTAAGGATAACATACTATATCCATTTTAATTTAAAACGTACGGGAACGAACCCGAGCGAAGCGAGGGTGAGTCGCTAGTTCAATATTAATATTTCTAAAAACTACAAACAATAATGACTAGAGATAAAAAGAGTATTTTGTTGAATTTCCTTCATTTTTCCTGTTCTTAGTAAAAAAAAATTTCTTCTCATTGTAAACCCTTGTTTTACCTACTTCAAAAAGAAAGTGCATATTTCGTTCTTAATAAACAAGTTACGCTACATTTTCAAGGATTATCTAATATGAATAAATAAAATGTACACACTAAGCGAGTGTCATTGCACTTAGCTTAATTGTTGCACCCAAACCCAATTTGATCAACTTTCATGACTATATTATAAGAAATATATCTAATATAATCTTCCCCGATTATGATTTATGGCTAGTTTTAGAAAATATGGCTTGTTCTAAATGCCATTTGGAGTCCCTTAAACAATCACAGTGAAGAATTTTCCCATGAAAAGAGTGCGTGCTTCTATTGATAACCGGCCTCAACGTTTAAAGGACTGTATTGCAGCCAATGGAGACCACTTTGAGCTTTATATATTTTTTATGATTTTATATTAATGTATTATTAACACTGTAATAGTAATAAATGTTACGTGCAATAGAAAATATGTTTTTTTCTTTGTAACAATATTTATGCCAAGACTATGTAGACATAATTTATGCAAAAACTGATGTTATTATACCAGTATGTCGTACTATTTTATTGTAATGTTGACTTATAATTTTTTTTATTTTTTTATATCCAACGTAGCTTTCCACTCAACGTGCTGCCAAAAGGCCACCTTGATTTTTCTCACTTTGGTCATCAACATAAACAGTATCGTAGATATAAATAGACGAACGAATAAATATTATTAAAATATGAAATGATCAAGTGACCATTATTTGGGTAAAAAAACAACTTTGCTATTTTCATTAATACTGTATAATTGTAGGTATAGAAAAAAAATTAAAATAAAAATATTTTTTGTTTTTTTTTCTTAACAGGCTTTGCGCTATATTCATAGTTTTTTTATAATTTGAAGTTATTACTAGATATGATATTATAGTATAACATGACTATTTTAAAGGCAGCTTAAATAAAATAAGAAGTAAATATATGATTAAGTTTTTGCCTGCGATTTCACCCGCATGAAAACAATTTTCCAGATTCAATCTAATTCAATTATTTTGTTAATGGCTTCAAAGCCTGAAATTTTCATAATGAAGCATATTACAAAATTAATTAATCATATTTAAGACTTCTGAAATATACATAACAGTATATTTTTACAAGACCTCCAGTATTATAATTTTGTTTTTTTTTTCTGTTAACAGTTTCATTCCGTAACGGACAAGAGATCTCAGAATCACGATTGTGGTGAGAACAGTATGAAAATAGTAACTGAAAAGAAAATAGAAGACGACGCTTCAGAGTCTTCTAGTGGAGAAAATGTAGATATAGAAGGTAAATAAATATAAATTATATAATGTTGTATTATATTATGTTGTTGGTAGCCCAATGGTAACGCGTTCGCTTGGGAAACCGAGTGACGCGGGTTCGCATACCGGATTTGATAGTTTCATATGCTAATCATTCCTGACATGATTATCACTTGTCTTACGGTAAAGGAAAACATCGTGAGGAAACCTGCATGTCTGAATGAACCTAACAAGTTTTCGAAACACGTGTAGTCCGCCAACTTGCATTTGGCCAGCGTGGTGGACTATGGCCTGATCCCCCTCGTATTGAAGGGAGGCCCGTGCTTAGCAGCGGGATGTTAGAAAGAGCTGGATACAGCATACTAATAATGTTATAAGTAAATTTATATATAATATAATTTTACTTAAAAGTGTTATTATTAATAATAAGTAATTTAGATCTGTTCGTAAAAACACTCGGGTAAGTTCCCCTTAAACAAGCCCCTTTTTCACTTATAAACACGATAAATGCTTGAAATAAAATGTAAATATAAATATATTTACAACAACAAAACAATGACAACATTAAAAAATAATAGCAAACTATTTAAGTTGAAAACTTTAACAATTTAGAAGCTAATTTCATTAAAGGAACGAAAATTCTTGAAAGTTACAAAATCTTATAGAATACTTACCCATCTAACATCAAAATTACCTCTTAATAGATACTTTTACCTCACAACTTCTATTTTTATGACGAATGAATTTTAAATTCAACAGACATCAAAAAAGTATTATAGTGTATAAAAATAAATATTCAGCTTCATATTTGTTAAGTAAAATTCCACTTTTCTACTGATTTAGAAGCCCACGTTCTAGGTTAAGCAACGTTTGCCTAGTTTTGAACGCGAACTAGTTCATGTACACTGTGCAGTGGTAGTTCGACATTATTTCAAACATACTTATAAATAATGATAAAAACCACTAACTCTGACTTGGTCTAGAAACGTGAAATTTTGCATAAGAATTCCTTTTATAATAAAAAGAGTACTAAAATAGGGCATAAAAAGTTATCTAGGAGTCGTTTGGAAATCATTTTTTGAGGTTAACAGTTTGAAAGTCATATTATCTATACATATAATAAAATTGTAACTAAGCCGAATCTGTACATTAAATAATTTTTGGAAAATCTTATTGAAATAAACATTAGTATCGATACAGAGGCCGAATCTATCTATTGTTTTTAGAATTTTTGTCTGTCTCTCTGTTACCGCATCACAGAAAAAAACACTGGAGGGATTTTGTTGAAATTTGGTATGGTGATAGCTGGTTATCCGGGTCAACATATAGGATACTTTTTACCGCGGGAAAATATCTAATTTTTGAGAAAAAAATACAAAAACTGCAATGTAAGAGTATACTAATAAGTAAAACCTAAGAATTTGGTTTTTGGTCATCTGAGCGCGGGCGGAGCCGCGGGCAATGCTAATTAGATATATATTTTTTATTCTTAACTTTTAAATTATATACCAAAACGATAAGTGTTTGGTTTTTGAAGTTGTATAAAATTATATTAACTCAATACAAATTATAGTTTAACTGAATCTAATATAAACGTTCGTAGAATTTTATTTCAAGGATATAGAATTGAACTCGCGACGATGCTTTGTTAGCGACATAAATAAATATTTGTACAGGAAAATAAACATTGCCTTTATCACACAAGTACTTATGTGAAAAATAAAATGGAGAACAATGCTAGATATTTAACTACGCTTTATATCTACTGTCAATATTGACTATGGTCCGTGACTTCACTTACAATGAAAAAAAAAACGTCGAAACACTCTACTGGTCTCTAAGTATTTTTTTACAGAGGAATACTGAATATTCTACAGAAATTACTTCATACGTTGGAATAATAATTAAAGTTTTTAAACGCAAAAACCAACCAACTGTAAAAGACTCGTCCAAACGAGTCATTTGAGTCTAAGCTACGAGCCATTCGTCACGTTAGTGCTTGTTTGTTTAAATTACCAATACTTGCTGTACTTTACAGTAGAGTTTTCCTCTGTTTTAGAAACAAAGCTTAATTTTTAAAATTTATGTACAAATATATAAATAAAATACATATTTTCGGCTGTTTTAAAGTAAAATATGTATTTTATACCAATAGAATGGACATTTAAGTTAATAATTCTGTATTAAAAACTCTTTCGGTAAATTGGTAGTTTGGACAAATAAGCACTAAGCTTACGCATTGTAAAAATCCAATATCCATATATCCGGTTTGGAAAATTCTTTTTGAGTTTTATTGAGGCATATTTATTAAGAAAGATTTCAGTTATTAATGACTGTGTAGTACTCGTATAATTTATTTGTCTCTTCGCCATTATTTATTCAAAGAATATTTAAACAAAGTAAAACTTAGTTATATATATTTGATTTTTAAATTTAAGAAGCGAGGAGCAGATTGCCTCTTTTGTTGTATACCAATTTGAATATCTTGTAACTTCGTTCCAATAAAGGATTCTAGAGAATTTTTACTGCACGCGTAGAACTTTCTGAAAAGGAAATAGCTTTAACGAAGTCATTGTACGAAATATAGTATCGTAAGCCATAAACAGCTTTATGCACTTCTATATTATTAAAAATAATCTTCTTCTTCTCCCTGCCCATTTCCCAATCACTTGGGGTCGGCGCAGTACATCTACTGTACTGCTAAGAGAATGTGGCTAAAGCTTTACGACCAGCCGCCTGCCTGACGTCAACCCTCTTTGGGAATGCTATTGTCGTCTCTCTTTGTCTGAATGGTGTCGCGGAAGTCTTGTAATTATTTCGATTTTGTTGTCTTTTAAAACATTTTTTATTCTATTACTTAAAGGTTTAATGTTATTTTCGGATAGATATTAAAAACAATATTATAAATTTAAATATAAATCGCTATAACATAAATTACAGAAATAAACTGCTTTTAAAGTCAAGCTATTGGCCTGAAGTCCCGTTTGTACGCTAATTAAGACGAAGTAACTAATATACCATGATTTTTCTATGTAAGTTAACAGTAAAAAAATTTCGACACGTATCCATAATATACGTAATATTCTAAGAATGTCATATAAATTCTAATAATTCTTTGTTCTCATAATTCCACGTATCTTACTCATATTTATCCGTCTGTCTGATATCATATCTTGATGACACAATTATTACGCATTGATGTACACGGAAGATGAAATATTTATTTTAGGATGAAAATGATAAGATTTTGAGGCAATCTTAAGTGCAATTAACAACAAATTGCGTGCAAATCTCTTTAAGCGCTACATTATATTTAAGGGATCTGTTCAGGATTAAAGGTATCCTTGGAGAGGTAATGATAGCACAGTGGTTAGATAGGGTAGTGATATTTTCATGTGCAATGGTTTTCAACATTATTTTACCTTACAGTAAAGGAAACGCATAGTAACGCGTGCATGTCAGTGAGATTACATTTATAGGTATATATTTACATATCATAGAGAACTTGTATGATCCTAAGTATCGCACCCAATGAGGAAAAAACACGTAGTAGTAATGTCATATTTCATCCACCATATTGTCTTAATACATATAAAGGCATGTTTAATTTATCAATCATTGTTTCGGTTTAACTTGTTAGGTCATACCGTCTGAAACGTAAAAACGTCATATAAACGGTTCCGTTGAGTCAGTGACAGACACCTCGTCAAAAGTCCGCAAAACACGTCATAATAAGGAATTTACAACTCACTCGTACGTAATCCTAGACAAACTAGTTTTAAACTGTATTCGTATCTAGCTCTTTTTAACGTCCCACTGCTGGGCACGGCCTTCTTTCATTATGAGATGTATCAGGCCATCACCCACCACACTGGCCAAATGCGGGTTGGCGGACTACACATGTCTTTCGGCACTACGACGACAACTTGCTAGGTTCTCTCAGACATGCAGGTTTCTTGACGAAGTTTTCCTTCACCGTAAGACAAATAGTAATCATGTTGGAAATGATTCACATATGGCAATATCAGAGGTGCGAGACCCAGGATTTGAACCCATATCACTCGGTTTCCCAAGCAGTTGCGTTACCACGGTTATTTATTGTTACCAATACCTTAAAACTTCATAAAATATAAAATTTAATGGCACAATTATCTACAGTTTCAGTTGTTATAGTCGTTTTGTTATTCACGCAGCGCTGAAGTAAATGCACGAGCGATCCTATAACATCTGAATTTTGCAGTAAAGGAGTCGTAATGAGAAGGAATTTCTCTGCTCTCTACGCTTCATAGAGAGCATGGCTCCATTATTTCCTTTGCAAAATAAAAATTCCTTAGTTAAACTAATATATCGCGTAACATACAGAAAGCTATCGAAATTACTTATTAAGAGAAATGGATAGAAAATAATATAGAAAGAGCCTTCTGTCCTCAGAAACATTGTTGAGTTTTTTCCTCTAAAGACACTGCAAGATAACGGTTTATCTAAACGAGACTAGGCCAAATAAATAGCACAGTATCTGTTCAACGCTTGTCTGAGATATTAAATTACAAAATAGCCATAAAAATAATTATAAAAGATTTAAAAATAATGTACTTTAAGTTAAGGTTGTCTTACGCACTTAGCTTGTTGGTAGACCTTGTATTTTCAATGTCATTTTGCTAATTTGTTTCTTGTATTGTAATAGGTTTTTTTCGGCATAATATTGTTTCTGTAGACCATACATACTGACTAGATAATATAAGTACATACTATGCTTTATCTATATGGTATGCATGCACAATGCACACTGCACAGCTTTGCCTGTACATTTGAACTGTACAGGTAAGTTTGACAATATTATATTAAATTAGTACCTTTCTATGATAGAAAATAAATATATCGGTTAAATAATATTTTATTTAATTTTAAATAAAGCTATGTGTTCTTATGATAAAAAATCATTATTACATCATCCTCACAAACGTTATTTTTTGATAATTCGACACAGTTTCTATTTTTACCAATAAGTCAAACCTCAGTGATAGC